ACTCAAATATGATATCATTTTAAGCTCATATTTAAATCATTTTAGGATTATAATATGATCATTTTCACTTCATATCATAAATGAGCCATACATGTCTCATTTATGTCTCATTTCCTGCGACCTGGGTTCCCTTGTGGACAGAGCGAAACACAGTAATATAGCTATCTACAGAGATAAACTGGACATTGGAAGTGAAGGTATCCGGATGTGTGAGAGTGCCATTCGGGAGGGGAAAACGTGTGAAAAACCCGGAAACATACACGAGGCGAAGAAGCAAGGCAGGCATAAAACGAATCAAGAAAATAATCGACATGCAAAGTACGTACCGTGATGAGAATTAACGTATGTACTGTCGTGTGGGTGTAGACGAAGAAATGTGAGCGAGCGAGTAATAGATGATTCCGATGAGTACTTGGTAATGATATGAAGTGAAAATTTGTGAGATGCATAGTTGATGAGGAGAGAGAGAGAGGAAAAATAGAGATAACAAAAAAAAAACAAAACACGGTGATGACCTTAGTGAGAATGAATTCAAATAACCTTGAACCTTTCCACAGACAGAGCTGAAGATATAATGTTAAAGTACGTGCGACTGACCAGTGGATGTGGACGGGAATGGATGATCGATGAGAAGTGTCATGGTGTTGTAAAGGAAAAATGTGAAGATGGAACCTGATGAAGATAAAAGAGATAAACGATTCTGATCATGATTGATTGGTTTTTGTGTGTGGTAAGTAAACGTGCATTGTTGAGAATATGTGATACAAATAAGCAATGGCCGTGAAATCGGACAGGGAAAGATGTACCAAATAAAACGAGCAAGTGAACATTAGAAGGGAGCGAGCAGGGAACATAACAGAGTGGTTAAATGTCTGATACGCGAAGGTTAGGGTGAATGTTATCCCTACCAAGCATATTAGCTTGAAAATCGAAAGAAATAATAAGAAGCTGAGGAGCTAAATGCATGTGAAGCAACACGTCATTGTAGCGAATGATTTTCCGTTGAAGTAGATTATAGGAACCTTGCATTTGCATGTCAGCATGGGGTGGTACTTGAAAAAGTCGAATCTGAATAAAAATATATTTCTGGTGGGTTAAATGAATGAGTTGGTCTCTGTATAGTGTACAATGAAAGAAAAAAGCATCAAGGCAAAGAGAAATAACATAAAAGAGATCAGTAGAAAAGCAGAATCTTTGATGTCTACCGTTGAATATACTGTAATATACCGTGAAAACCCACAGTGGAGAAATCGGGTCCAAAAAACGCGAGTACCCCGACGAGATCTTTGTAACGTAACTCATTGCGCTGATTCCGAATATGTAAAAATTGCGAGACTCGCTTCTCTAGAAAAAAATCATCACATTTTGATATGCTCTGCAATGCCATGATCAACAAAATCAGACAGTGGCCTGATTCAGTAGAAGTCAGTTGTTCATAATTGTTATTATTTGATAATTCAATAAGTGCTTCTACTTCTCGTGCATATTCAAGAAATTGTGCTGTTGTGGTTGATTTTTCTTTCGTACTTCAAATTGTAAACAAGCTTCTATTTTTGCCATTAAATATTTCAATCAGGAAGTTTCATTCATTGTTGAATCAGCTTCTTTAAATATTTTATTTATTACTGTATAATAATTTCAGATTGATTGATTTTAACTTGATAATATGATTCTAACTTTTTAAATGATAAATTAACTTTTTTAGCATAGACGGATCGAGCTCGAATTTGGGGCGTAGAATTATGATTATCAAGTAAAATTTTTCTGAAAGTTTCGTTTTTAAAGCCTCAGAGGTTGCAAAAATAACTTTTTTTTAGAGACGGCGCTAAGTGAGAAGTTCCCGTTGAACGTAGTGCTGTTGAACTAAAGCAATTATTTCGAAGGAAACACAGCGGCTATCACGATTCCTCATGGTTTATAGCAGTTTTAGAGCATGTTTCTCGAGTTTTCTAGGTCTTTTAGTAACTATAGTCCTCTTCTGTTGCTCGGTTACACAACAGAAATCACGTCAAATATCAGCTCTAGAGTACTTAAGCAAAGAAAAAAGAAAATATAGTTGAACTATAGGGATAAAATGTACCACTTTCAGTCTTCCCTCCTTTTGATCTTACCGCTTTCATTTTTGTTATATACGCACGGCAATAGACTATGCCATAAAATAAGAACAGGATAAATTTACTATTTTCGTCGAAATATTCACTTCACCCCATATTCTCCCAACCTGATAGATTAAAATAAAATTAACTAGAATGGATCACTCTTCGCTTTGATGCTATTTTCAAGTATACAAGTTCTGCTGTATAGTGAGCTATTTTGTAGTAAAGAGTACATTTTATTGTCAGAGATACAGGGCGATCAATATCGGAGCTAAGCCCGAACAAAGATGCACTTTTTATGCCAATTAACAAGCGCAATCAGTTCTTAAAGCCGTTCTCGCCTAGCATGGCTTTCCAACTTTCTCTTCGGGCCATGGTAGTGTTATACGATGCTGTCTGTTATGTCAGGCACTGTCATCAGGTGAAAACCCTTTTCACCGATTGAAAACTCTATGTTGATCGAGCAAATAAAACTTTGTTTGTATTCAACAAAAACTATCGAACCTACTAAATACATTGCTATTTATAGCAAAAATCAAACATTCACAAAGAACAAAGTGATGCAACTCTAAATAACACAAAACCAAGGTCATCTGGAAACCTATGCTGTAATAAAAAGAGATTGTAATCATATGAATGATGAAATAGTACTTAAAAGAGCGTACAGGATCAGAGACAGGATGGTCCAGGTCATATGCCCAGACCTGACCTAGCAAAAGCGGACTTGGACCTGCACCTGGAAAAGGGAACCTGGACTTTGACCTGAACCTGTACCTGTGACCTAAAGTGTTATAGCTGTATTTAAATGTGTATATGTGATACATAATTACAGAGATCACAGAAAACATCCGCAGTGTTCTACACGAATGATTGAGTAATGAAATCTACGCGAAGAGAATATTTCTCTAAATCTAGCTCAATGTTTTTATTTTCGGTTAAAAATGATAAAACACAGAAAATAATATAGTTATGTCTGCGAATAGCATCGGTTAAAGATGAGGATATATGACCGTCATATATCCTTCAAACGTTATAATATGACGTTTGAAGTAACTAACGTGCGATATATGCTCTATATAAAATGAAGCTGAAGACAGATAGACCGGTGTGTATGTGCGCGGAAAATATAGAGAAAAACGTTCGTGAGTAAAATATCAACAGCACTGTATACATATGTAACTAACAAAGAAACCACATATCTTTCTCATAAAAGATGTTTATTTGCTCTCAAAAATACTAAGTCTTCGAAGAGTGATTGGCTCATATTTGTCCGTTTTGGTGACATAATCAAACCGGCCTGGCTGGACACTCTTTCAACAGGCGCTGACGATGCTTGTACGGAAAAAATTCTTTGTACCACTTTTTTTAATGTTGATAATGTAGAATTAGCCCAATACTCTGTAAATTTCGATGATGATTTGTCATCAAAATAGGTTTGAATTTCTTTCGTTAAATCTGGCTTGCTTGTTGTTGTTTCATCATTTTGATAGTGGAACAGTTTCTTTTTTTTTCGTAGTTGACCAGCAGTGATGGCTAATGTTGTTGTTGTCATGGTATTACCGGTTAACTGAGGTGGTGATTAATTTGAATTTGATTTTTCTTGAGCTGATTTTAGTTCAAATTTACATTCGGTCATTATCAAAGAGAATATATTTTCTTTTAAATCAGTTGCATCTGAGATATTATATCTCATTTCACTCATCCAATACCATTTGAAACTTGGATCTAACATAGCCGCAACAAAATAAATGGGATCACTAAATGGATCAGTATCATTCACTTCTTGAAGTTGCAGTCGCTTAACTATGCCAGAAAAGCGTTGCTCAAGAGAACTTTGCAGTTGTTTAACCATTGCCTTTAGTAATGCTAAGTCGGTCTTGATTTCAATTAAATGTGCTAATAAATGCACGATTGATGGAACAACCATCGATAGTGTAACAACCGCTTGTGATTGTACATGAATTGTCACATCGTAAAATGGATCAAGAATGTCAATCACTTCTTGAAGAATTTGTAAATCGCGATGAGTAAAATAAACGGCGTCTTCTGCAATAAAAAAGTTCTCATCGTTATTCCAGGACTTCGTTTTTTCTCTTCAAATTGTATACCATAAAAGTTCACCTTATGTAATTTCTATACAGAATTCTCACCTGTGGCATTAGTAATTTCTGTGAGTTCATTTTGTCCAATCAAAACAATAGATTTAATCAACAACAGTTCAGCATTCCATCTTTCCACATTCGCTGGTTTAATTTGTTTGCTTAACGTTTCTAACAGCTCCTGTATTTTCATCGACTGATGAGCTAATGATGCTAGTGTATGACATTTCGCTAATGGTTTTTTAATACACGGTATTTTTTTCAAACCATCGCGAACTGTGAGTTGTAGCGAATGTGCAAAACACGATAATCGTTTTGTGTTTAGACATAACAGACTTTCGGACGTTGCTTCGTCGTGAGCGTCTGGATACCAATTGACTAATTGTAAAACGCATTCATCGTCATCAATGATATCATCTTTATCACATAAACTACCTTGCGATGATGTTATATTAGCATTATTATTAGTTTCGTCTAATTCAACGTCTAAGCCAAACTGGAAGGCTTTAATCATTGATGCAGCATTATCTGTTATTATACGAAATATTTTATCTTTTAGTCCCAATCGTTCAACAATTCTACGAGTTGTTTGTCGTAAGCTTTCAGCATTATGGGATCCTTTCAAGCGTACGAAATCTAATAAACAAGCTTGTGGTACGAAATTTTTATCAATAAAATGGCCTGAAAATACGAAGATAAAAGAAATTATACATTTTAGTAATTTCAAAATCCTGTACACACACCATTTGGGCTTTGCATCAATAAAAGAAAAAAGATTAGCGTATGATTCTAATACTAACAGTGCAAAGATGTTATAGTTCCGGATGTTTCTCGAATAGTCTAGCTTCTATCTCGTCCAAATAAGCAACTCTCAAAAAATATGGATGCTCTTAGATATGAACTAATTCTTACCTGTTATACCAATAAATCCACGGGTTTTTCGATCCGTCCATATGTCCACAGTTACAGTTAAAATTATAAGAGGGATAAAAATTCTAAACAGATAAAGCATGATATATATCACTATATTGGAAATTTTCTTTTAGTGTTAACATCTAGTAAAAGAATATGTACAAAACTACGTTTGTTAAACGTTAATACTTTATTATGTTTTTAATTATGAATTTAATGTTAT